TCATAAATGAGTACATGATAAACTAAATGAAATAATAATTATTCCATTTATATAAAGTTATTTTTGAGTATCAGCATTGTTACTCGACTCCCTGAAAGAGAATCATAATACGATTATAAACGAAAATATCTGTTTGTTGAAAATTAATGACATATAATCTTTGATTATTCAAATCTTTTACAATTGTATAATAAGATATTTCATGAATATGCATAGAAAATACAATGAAAAATGAATCATTCGATTTTATCTTTTTAATAACGAATATGTTGGATAAACAACAATATATAAATATTCAGTTGATCATTACACATTATCTAATTATATTATTTTAGCTTATTATATTATGTTGAATTTTTAAACAAAACTAATAAAATTGGTGATTGACTTAATAGTGAGTGAAATAATGCAAAGATATTTTCACACACTTCATTTCTATGATATTGCTCGTTTAAATCTTAAAAAACTACAGATAAAAGAATGAAAAGTAAAACTAAATATTAAAGTACTGAATTCATAATAAGATTAACGAGAAATACATAAAAAATTGATTGATTGATTTTCTAAATTTCTTATTGTATCTTGTATACAATATCCATTTGATATACATATTCAACAACTATCCCATGATAAATAATATATTTTGCTCGACACTTCTCATTAGAACATATACAGAGATAATCGTTATGATGAAAACATTTTTTCTATTAAAGTATTATTCATTGATAGATATATACGATTATATTTAAATATATTTGAAAGATTTTCATCTAAAAAGAAATAAATTATTTTATTTTTATTTTCTGATATTGATTACAAATAGATTTCAATATAATTATAATAATATCTAATCTTATCATGTTTGATTACTGTGAAAATGTTAATAATTGAACAGTAATTTTCGACATAATCATCTTTTATTCATTGATGAGAGATTTTATTGAAAAGATAAAAGAAAATAAATTGCTTCACTGTTAAAACTTTCATAGATTTTCAGAAAAGTAACCGACAGTTTTGCAGCTTTTTTATTGTGTATTCTAAATAGAATTAGAGTTGAAGAATAAATCTATAAATATGATAATATCGAATATTAAATTTCATTGAATTCGAAGTTAAATTAAAAAGAAAAATTTATCTTAAGTTTTTTTTATATTGACAATTATCTTCATAAAACCATTTAATACATTGACATTCATAAGATTTAATACCAAATACAATCAGATTGATTTCAAACAAGCTTCATTATTTTGATAAAGTGCGAAAATAACATTGATTATAGTTTAAATGATATGTTATACCAAATAGATTTGTTAAACATATACATAATGGGTAATCATTTTTATGAACAAGTCTTCGATATTTAGCTTTACAAATTGTTGATTCATATTCACAAAGATCTCCATTGACATTGATAAACAAATCTTTTCTGGATAATTATCGATGCTTTTGATATAAAAATCAAATTCATCGATTTTATCGTGAAGAAAAATCAACTCTAAAATTCTATTAAAATCATTTGGAATTGTATACTTAATTTGAGATTTTCTAACATTGAGAAAGACAAAATAATAATTGGTATTTATTTGTTTGTTCACCTAAAACTAATTTAATAAATGTTAGTCTTATGTTCTAATGACTCTGAAATGATGATGATGAAAATGAAAAGAAATGATTTTTATTCTAGACGTTTATGAATATGATAAAAAAACGTGTGTAAATATAATGGATTTCAAAGGATCGATTTTTTTATAAAATCTATCTTTTTCATTTCGATTCTATCATCTGTAGAATATCTTTTTCTTTCGAAGTCAAAGATAGAAAATGTTTATTCATTCAAAAAACGAATCTAATGAAACACTTGTGTTAATCTAATATTAGTACGAATATCAATAATATTCCTATTATTATAAGAAACATATTGTTTAGAGATTTTATCTTCAGTTAATCGTTTAGCTTTGTTTTATGAAATGAAAGATAACTTCGACATACCTACATACATTTAAAATAGCTTAGATTTCTATTGACTCAAAGATAAAAGACAATGGAAAAGTTCTTCTACTTTTTTGCTTAAATAAATTAAATCAATAACATACGTGTTATATGAAATGTTACGTGACATTTTTTCTTATCTTTCTTTTAACTTAACCTTCCCTTAAGATTTTCCTGGTTCAATTGAAACATTAATGATTTTGTTGAATTATTCTAGTAAATTATTATTAAGATTAAGATTTATCACCATTAGAATAGATTTTTCTCCTAGAGTAGAGAATAAATTCTATAAAAATATCCAACAAATTTCATAGATATATAACACTGTCGAACTAATGTTAAATGTAATTAACGACAAAATTTTGTTATCACATAGACAAGACTAAAGATTAAGATTAAAAACCTTGTGAAAAAATGTCACTTAGGTGTATAATTATCAATATGATTTGACTGGAAATTTAAAAAAAAAACTTCTTTCATATATTTATGGACAACTGTAACAGTAATAATGAGAAAAAATGAAAAAGATTTTGTCTCTAATATAATCCTATAGAAAAGAATAAAGCAAAATTTATTAACAATTAGATGAAAATTACTTGTTAAGTTTGTTTTATAGAACAAAATAAGAATTTTACAATTGATTCGTCTATAGATCTAGATAGAAAAGTTTTAACTTATTGAAAAATATCTATCCAATTGACAATTGATTGAACATTATTTAAATTAATCTATGAAAAATTTCCAAAGAGCAATTTTTTGTTAAAACAAAATAATAGAAATCTTACTTAAAAACTCGATGATTTCTGGCAAAAAAAGATGTTTTCTATTGAAAATAATTTCTTGTAATATATTTATCTATCAAAATATTTAAGGTCTATTAAATGTGTATTCATTTAATGCATCATTGATTTTCATATTCTTTTCTTCGTCATCGAAAAAACGATATTTATAAGATAGATTTTTTTTCTTTCTTTTCTTGTGTTCTTTTTTTTGTCCTTGATAAATCTACTCACAAATATGCAATGAAAAATAATGGATAAATATTTTCAAATTTTAAGTAATAATTATCTTTAAATCTAAATATCGATATTGAACAAATTCTTCGTCTAGAATTTAATAGATTTATTTCACTTTTCTTTTCTATGAAAATATTCTTCGTACTTATATCAAATATTCATGATCATTCTTATCATTAATTTATGCTTATTCTATTTAATTTTACATTAAAATATTGAAGAATTCGTGACAAAATAATAATTTTCTTTTAATATCAATGTTAAACAGACGGTACAGACAGTGTATAGTATACACTGTATACTCATCTTCAAACGCTTAACTATCAATATTATATCAACAATTGTTGACTATCTCTAATCGAATAAATCAAATACTAAAAATCTGGTCAAGTTAAGTGAACTTCAAATTTGAAGTTTAAGAGTTTCAACTTTTCGATAACTTGTAGCTTGTGATTGCGTGCTTTGTTTTTCTTGAGTATCATCAGTCGACTCAGCACAGTCCAGAGTATCTATTAAAGCAATCAAAAACAGATGATTACAGTTTTTAGGTAGAGTTTTTCGCGAAAATTTAGACATTCGTAAACTTCATATTTGGAGCACACTTAAACCTAACACATATACAGATAGATTTGTACACTATTAATTGATAATAATCATCATTTTATCCAATACTTATTGTTTCAATTGAGTTGAACGGGAAAAAATAGTTGAGCTCTATTTTAACAAAGTATCATACAAGAAAATAAGTGTTAGAATTAAAAAGAAACGGATTAATTTTCATATTTATATCAATGAATGTTTGTCACGACTGATAGTGAAATCACTGGGACTTATCACAAAGAAGAAACCTGGCGATCATTGATTGCACTCTTTTGGTTACCTCTTTATCTTATTTATACCTTGTTGTCTAGTATCTCATTCACATTCACACTCACAACTTATTCATATTCGTCCTAATTCTTATGAGTGCTTATCGGTATCTTTTTTAATTGACTAATAAATTAAAATAAAAAGTAATATGAATACAAGAAAAACATTGATTTTATAGTGTATTTCTCTTCAAAAGTTTTGTTTTATTAACTTTATCGCTTGAGATTATTCTTAATAGATTTGATACGAACGATAGACTTCTAATGATATTTATTTCTGTTGAAACAAATAACGTTTTAATTGGCATATTTTTCTAAAGTTCAATAATATAGAATTATTCATTCATTAGCAAATAAAGAAAAACTAAATAATAACCTTTGAGAAAAGAAAAAAAGTTAAAAAGAAAAAGAAAAATCTCATTCTTCATATATGAGACACGTTGAAAATAAATCTAAGATTTACTATCACATTTCTTCTATGATTTTCAAGTAGTAAATATGGTTATATCAATGATCAGTTCATAACATTGACCACAATAAACAACTGAGACAGTCAATAAGGAAACGTTGTTTTATTTCACACTCGAGTCATGCATATCAAGGAGAAATATAAAGAATTTATAGGTAGACGACATATACATATACTTGAATAGGCATTTCTCTTGAGTTATTTTAAATTTGTACGAATGAACGAAAACATGGATTGAGAAATTGTCTCTCTTATTCTTTTGTGTGTTTTTTCCATGGAAAAAAAATTTTGCGAAATAATCAATAATTTTGACAATGATAATTACACATAAATCATCAGTAAATCGATTAGAAATCGATTATTTTGTGACTCTTTCGTAATATTTTCTTTATATGGGTTATATTGATGTATTTTAATGTGCAGCAATGTGATTGCAAAAAAAAAGTATTTCGTTCTAACTTCATGTGATTGGTGCATTTGTGAGTGAGGTCACACAATTTCTCTTTCATAGGAGAATAAGATACAGCCGTCGAAACGTTTCATTTATACCATTAAATCATATGCATTATTCGATATTTTTCATTTTATTTTTCTATTAAACTATTCGAATTCTTTTCAAACAATAATATTTCATTGATTCATCTAAAAATATTTCATATGGTATGTTTTTTGTAACATATTTAAGCGATTCGTTATCTTAAAAATTCGTGATTTCTAATCAATCTATAATTGCATTTTTTTAACTTGAATGATATTATAAATTTTTTATTTCTATTCAATAAATATATTCTTAATTCGATATTATAATGAAAGTTGAAACAATTGTTTATCTATAATCGATTGATTAATAAATATTATATTTAGTCGCATAGAATATCTCATTAGTATTATCTAACTATTTGAAAATAAATGATAATCTTAAAATAAAATTGTATCTATTATAAATATTATATTGTAGAACTAAATTGATGATTTTCACTTCTCGTACCTCTTTTATCTATTTTATTCTTTGTTTACTGTTAATAAAACTCTAACTTAAAGCTTCATCCTTCTATAGAGATTAAAAGCATTCGACAACTTATTCTTTCTTTTTTTTTATTTATATTATTGATTGAATTTACTGGCCCTGGGTTTTTAATCATACCGTATTACTCCTACGTGACACGTTACAAGAAAATATTATTTATATTTACGCCTATGAAAAAAAAATATTTAAATTTTTTGATAATAGGAGAGAAAATAGATAAAATAGAAGAAGGATGCAAAATCAGTGAAGCAAAGAGTATCGAGTCACTCTTTCCAATAATACATGTGGACTTATAAAAAGCTGCATGTTTCATAATAATTTGTATTTGAAAAGAATATGAGTGACAAAGAGCCACTATTAAAGACACATAACACATTATCTATTGACAATGATAATGACAATGAAAACAAAAGGTATGATTTTAAAAAAATATTATAATATTCATAAACACATAACGAATTCATCATTATTTATAGTTTTTCTTAGTGGCGTCAATATTTCAGTCGGCAAAAGACTAATGCTAAGAATAAAAAGTTAAATGATGAGATCAATGATACGAATAAAGATATTCCAGTCGGTGTTTTACAATTGGTAAGTATATTTAAACATAAAATATCATTAAAGAAACTAAGAAAATACTTAGTTGAAAGCATGTTGTTTTTCTTTTTAATATATTTATATATATATAAATTAATTCATTTTATTTAATGATAGTTTCGATTTACTGATCGTATTGATATTGTTCTTTTAATTCTTGGTCTGTGTTTCATGTTGGGACATGTAGTTGGTGCTATCGCAAATGTAATTCTTTTTGGTCGAATCACGGGATTATTTGCCACTACATCATTTGCTGTTGATTGTACTAATCAATATAAAAATTTCGTATCTACAATTCTCAATAATACTGTATGTCCTTTTGGTATTGATCTTAATCCATTAAATTAAGATCGATTACATAAGTAATTCAATGAAAAATATTCTTATTTTGAATCTTTTGAAATGTTTTCATTCGTAGACTATGTCATTATGATAATAAAACTATTTCATCAACATTATCTCCAATAACGCCTTTATTTCGAAAAAATGTTATGCATTCAGTTTATTTGTTCTTCGGTAAGTCTATTGAATATGATAATTTAAATTTAAAAAAAAACAAACGATTTCTTGTTTCTCTGTATGAATGTAGGTTTCAGTATTCTTACATTTCTATGTACTTCTCTTGATTATATCTTTTGGACAATTGCTACAAAAAGACAAACATCTCGCATGAGCGTTTTACTCTTTCAATCACTTATTCAACGTGTAAGTAAAAATATTTTTGTTAGATTCATAAAAAAACTTTGTAATTCCTGGTCATAAGTTGACATTGAATAGTATCGAATTTCTACTAGGTGACTTAAATTCAGTGTAGATCTGCATTGTAAATGTTTGTATTTGTTCAAAGACGCTTATTCGTTGAAGAATAACTGAAATAAATGATTACAAACGATTAAACTAGTTAAAATATATTATAGTTTATTGTATTTATTTCTCTTATTCCGTATGAAACATAAAATAAAATGAAGTAGATCATTTTGATCTTAATTTCTCATTTTCTTTTTTCAGAATATTTTTCTAATTAAGAAATTAATAATTTTAAAAACATCGTTGGTATATCAGTTGAATTATGAAAATAATCAATACAAAATATATAAGAGACAAGGATAATAATACGAATGAATCTCAAAGATCATCTTGAAGGGAACTTTATTATTGATACAATTTAGAAATAGTTTAAATTAATTAATTAGAAAATAATATTAAAGAAAATGATGAACTTATAATTTAAGATAAAATAATGTATTATTTCTCTTTCATTTTTTAGAACATGACATATTTAGATACAAGTCAAACTACACAATACAATTCGACGCTTTTTACGTAAGCAAACATAATAACTTTATAATAAACAATTATATATGATCCATTTCCTTTGCAGTAATATTGAAAAAATCAAAAACGGAATGGGTTTTGAATTCTTAGTAGTAATTGGACTTATTTTACTCATGATTCTCAGTATAATCATATCTTTTATTATCAATTGGCAATTGTCTTTAATTATGTCTTGTATAATTCCAATTATTGTTGGTAGTTCATTGATATTTGCTAAGGTAGAAATAATTATTTAATTTGCTAAAATTTTATCAATACCTATAGGTTATCACTAGAGAAACAGAAGAGCAATTAAATACATATTCAAAAGCTGAACAAATCGCTCAAGAAGTATTTAGTTCATTAAGAACTGTTCTTTCATTCAATGGAAGTAAATGCCAACAAAAACAGTAAATAAATAAATAAATAAATAATTGTATTATTTATCTTGTCTGTAGATATGAAAAAGAATTAAAATTAAATGAATGGTATACTGTTCGCAAAGATGATGCATTTGGTACTTTTATGGATTGGTTATTTTTTATAAATTTTCTAGTTTATTCAATTGGTTTCACTTTTGGTTC